GTGAATATGGACCCCTCCTGAAGGGGGAGGGGGACCTGAATGTTATATTTCACCGGTAGCTACTAAAGTTTTTTATAACAAAAGAACGCATGTCAATTTGACTTTTATTTCAAAACTATCTCCCCGAGTCCACTAGATTTATCCATCTTTGTATTCCTATGGCACCTCACACACCATAGATTGACACCCTCTCCCATGGTAGTGGATTTTAGAGAAACATAAAACATAAAAGAAAGACCTCTGAAGCCAGCACATCTTGGTTTTAGTCCTGAAGCTGCTACTATTTCTGTAATCTTAAACAAATCATTTCAACTCTGACTTTCAATTTTCACATCTTTAAAAAGCAAAAGTTGCTTTATATTATTTCTCAGGTTCATGCCTGTATTAAAATATACTTTAAAATAAAGATGATTAGACAATTCTATTACAAGTGTGCAAGCAAAATCTCTTTGTGGTAAATTCTGTTAACAAATGTGTTAGCAAATAAAAGTTCCCAGCTTCCAGGACATATTATTTTGTATCTGTATTTAACCTAAAGCAAATTAAGCAGATCATTGTAGGAAACTTGGAGAGTACAGAAGTATAATGTGGAAGAGAATGCCATCCTTAATGGTTTGATGGTTAATGATTGGGGAAGTTTGTTAGTCTTTTCCTCTTTTGCCTTCTATCCTATGGTTGGTTGACATTAAGAGGCATATTTCATTATGATACATCTAAGTTCTTCTGAATTCATCTTTGTGTAGCTTGCCTCGATAACATAGGACATAAGAAATGTTTGAAGTTAACAGTTTCTTGAACATTCTTGGAATATAATTGGTAGGAGAGGATGTTTATGTAGGGAAACAGGACAAAAAGTATTAATAACAAAAACCTTTTCTTTGAAATTTGGCCACAGGTGTGGGGAAAATATACTTGTTGACTACTTTACAAAAGTATTTAGATTGCAAAATATTACTGTTTAGTATGCTTTTATGACTGTATCTTTCCATCATCCTCTTCCACTCACATTTGATGCTTTATTCCTCCCACTGTCTAATTTAAACTTCTTTCTAACCTTCCACCTCAGTTTACTTTATTCCCAGATTTTGCTTCTGTTTGCACCATCAGCCAGGTAAGATGGTTTTGATGGGCCTAAGATTTGTGCCAGTATTTGTGAATTAGTAAAAGCTTGCTCCATTCTATCTCTCACTTTTTGGTAGAATGCTTCACCATAATTCATTTAATATTCCTAACAGTCCCTTGAGAACAGGAGTTTCATTATTGTCATCTTCATGGATATGAAACATTCAAGATCATACTGTCAGTAAGCAACAAAGCCAGGCTTAAAATGGCTTTTTTTACTTACAATTTTTGGGATTTGGTGGATATGGTTAGTTTTGACAAAGCTACTACTCTAGGGAATCAAGTATCCAGAGAGAAGAAGGGGACACAAGAATGTTTTGCACAATGGTTTTGCACCAAGCAGACTGAAACAAGTACTGTGGTTCCAGGAAAACTGCATCTCCTTACGCTTCTCTCCCTCCCCTATGAGGAGGAGGCTGCCTATTGCAGTTTGTTACTCTGTAACAAGTTATCAGTAAGGGATGTTACTAAATGCAAGGTTAAAGAATGAGAGGGATATAATGTTTAAAACATCTGTGAGGGATAGCCTTTGCTCCTGCTATAAAGAGATATTCTTATAATTGTAAAAACAAATGGAAAAGTTGCTGTAAAATAATAGATGATGGAATATTAAGTACCTTAATGTACTTGTCATGTTTGAACTTTTAATACTGAACTTGATTTGGGGGAAGGCATATTTTATTAAGATACCTGAAGCTCTAAGGAACTGAACACTGGATTACATTTCCCTTGAGAATGGTTTCTTTTTAATTCATCCGAAACATCATGAACCTCATTTTCTCTCGGCTCTCCAGTATAGTCAGCCCATTTTCTATACAGTTAGATTCCTAGTTCAATGGGAGCTAAGAGTTGCTCAAAGCTATGCACTGAGGATTTGGACCAAGGAAAACATCTAAGAGGTCTGGGGAAACAATTGACTATTAAATATTTAACTTGTAAGCTTTGGGTCAAAGTGATTCTGGTTCTGGATCCCTTATTTTATATTACTTGATATTATATTGTGGATCAGATTTCTTGGTCAGTTTTTGGAAATGGAAGAAAAACAGTTTTTAGGCTGGACTTGACCCTTCACGTTGCATGACTTGTGACACTAGAGTCTTAGAATTTTCAAACACTTGAAGAAAGGAGGAAGCAAAGACCTAAAAGTGTTAATTTGGAAGGTAGGGTGAGCCTCAGTTATAGACAGGATGCAGTATATGAAATTATATGGCTTAATGAATCCAGATGAAATTTCTAAACATAGATAGTGAAAAATCTTTGAAATGATAAATCGCCTGCAAAATGTGTCCTTTGAGCCACCTGTTTTTTTTTTTTTATTACTAAAGCAATTGCTTAGCACAGTACCCGCCTCACATCAAGAAGACATTCACCTGAAGTGTGAAGCACTGTGGGATAATTTATGAAGATGTCTCATAGGGGTAAAGCATGTCTAAATGACAGATTATATGTTGAAGGAGTAAAACGAGACAAGTCACTTTTTTCCTATAGTTTTATCTTGAACCCTAAATCAATTAAGCAAAACTTAGGCAACCTGGATTTAAATGTACCCACTATTGTCTTCTCTGAGGGAATAAAAAATAATTGCGACTAAAGGTACTTTGCAGTTCTGGTCAGGAATAAAATCTGGTGATTTAATAATGTAGCTTATGACAGGATTCCTAGTTAAGGTTAAAAATGCTGATGTAGTTAATAGATCTGAGGATGGGACCCAGGTAGGAAGGGGTCTCCATACTGCCAAGCCTTCTGGCCCACTGCTTGTTTCTGTATAGCCGACAAGCCTGTGAACAGTTTTACATTTTAAGTGGTGAGGTTAACCCAATAATAACAAAATTTCATGTGCATGAAAATTGTATGAAATTCTAATTTCAGTGTTCATACATAGTTTTATTGTAATACAGCCACACCTGTTCTTCTATGCCTGATCCATCTATAGATGCTTTCAACTACAATGATAGAATTGTACATAATTATGACAGAGACCCTGCACACCACCGAGTCCTCCAAAATTTCTATCTGTTGTATTACAGAAAAAAAATTGCCAACATATGAACTAAGCTATAGTATCTTTCACATTTATCTCCTTCACCCCAGTTTAATAACCATTATCCTAGTCCAGGTCTTCATTATATGTTACCAGAACTATTGCAAAAACCTTACAACAACTATGAGTATCCATACCTCTGGTTTTTCCTGTCTTTCTCTGTGTAAGTGCTGCCTGGTCCTTTCAAAATGCATGCTATTAACTTTTAATGATGTCTCAATTTATAGAAGAGGCTATATTCTTTGCAACCGGGCCTTCCTTGGGCCGCTATTCAGTCTTACTTTCTAGACTAGTCTCCTCCTACTTCCTGCTTATACCCTATACTTAGGGTAACCATATAATTTTCCAAATGGGATGCTTGAGTGTGAAAGGGTCCCGAGTAATAATTATGCTTGGGAAGGAAATAGGCCTAAAGCAATATTGTTCAAGGCAAATGTGGATGTAGAGTCACTCTGCTTATAACTCCAGCCAGTTTGATGGGCTTGTTATTCTGTATAAGCACCTGTTACTTTGCCTCCACTCATTGTTCCTTTAATCTAGAATTCCTTTCCCTTTTTCTATAAATTTAAATCTTAATTATCTTTCCAAATAATACAATGACTCTGAAGTTACTCAGAAGTAATTTCTTTCTTCCTCCTTCCTTTATGAATAAGTGCTTTTCATGATGTGAATTACTTTCAGCTTTAGTGATACACACACACACACACACACACACACGCACACACACACAACATCAGTTTTCTTCATTGGTTTCTTGATAACATAATCCATGTTGGACTCCCATGGTTCTGCGCCTATGGGATTTGCATCATGTTCGAATAATGAATTAAATGGCCGGGTTAGGGAAACTGGAGTATTAGGGGCTTTCAATTTATGAATCACTCATTTTAATGAGATTAAAGTAGTGAGAAAAGTTGGGTTTCCAAGGACTGATAGAACCTTATTCTTTGAGGACCAGCCTGCCTGAGACTGAATCCAGCTGTGCCAGTTAGAACTTGGGAAAGTTAATTCCTCCTAAGTTTCTGCATCTGTAAAGTAGAGCTAATTATAGAACCTACTCCATGGAGTGGTAGTTTTGGGTTCAAACAGTGCCAAGTACATGGTAAGCACTCTATGAATGTTAGCTCCTGTGGTTAATATCATCATCATCATCATCATCACAGGTGGGTAAGAAAATACACCAACCCAACCCCAGGAGTAACACAGAAGAGCTAGGGGAAATGCAGCACTAAAACCTTTGCAGGTTTATTTTTCCCTGATTGAAGCAGTCAGCCTCTGGGGGATTAAAACAGTGCAAGTCCTAAGAGATGATGTTTTCGTTTAGTAAGAAACTAATCTGCAGTCTTTTTTGAGAGACAATTTCATTAGAGTGGGAAAAGCACGCATTAGGTGTCAGACAACTAAAAGTAATGTGTGCAAGGAAGAAAGAGTAGGAAGGAGGAGGATGAGGTGGAGACATGTGGAAGATACTTTTGTTTAGTAGCCGTTCTGTTCAAACCAGAGCATAACTTTAAAAAGGAAAAAACACTCTGGGGAATGATAATCCAATTATTTGTATGGCCTGTGTTTTGGTATGAAGTACGCTATTGATTAAAATAAGTTTTTAAGTCTCAGTAAGTTGCTGAGGGATATTTATTTAAGGAACCTTAAGAACCAACTACAGGTTGATGGCTTTACCAAAACAAGAAACAAAGCTTGAGGTTTTAAAAAGAGCAGTATTTCACTGGGGGAGGAAGGTTTAGTCTGTTCTTAGGAAGGTACTTCTCTGCGAGCTGGGGTGATTACTGCTTAGCCTGCCTTTCTGCCTTGAGGTTTGTCTGCAGAACAGTAGTGAGCTGAGCCCTCCTTCGCAGATGCATTTTGTGAAGTGGCAGCCTAGATTTGGAAGGGCGAGCTGTGACTGCAGATCCACCCATGCTGTGAAGCCAAGTGAGCATATAGCCCCAAACGAAGAATGAAATCCTCAAAGGTAAGGAGGAAGGAGCCAGGGACTGGAGGCAGAAGCCGTGGGTCACCATCCCAGTTGGCTGTCTAGTGACCACATGTTTTTAAGCAAGTGAGTCAGTTTCCATTTTCTCGGTAGAGATCATGGCCATACATGAACATACTAACCTTACAGAAATACAAGGCACAAAACTAGAGTGCATAATTACTCTTGCTTCTGTTGATCATTTTAAATATACTGAGATTCTTGACTTAAAGCTTAACATTTCAGTCTGTATAAACATCTCTGACTGTTTTTACGTTGATGGTTACTGCTGAGACTGTCATGCGTTAGCCTCAGTAGCATGACCTAGTAATTGTCTAGCTGAATTTGATTCATTTGAAACACCTACTAAGCACCTTGTGTCAAGTGACGTGCTAGGTTCTCCAGAGAAGTACCAACTCCTTTGATGCTGCTTGGTCTCACTCCTTTGCACATATTCATCAGCTAGGAAAAGTAGTTGATAGCCCCAAGGAGAGGAGAGGGAAGTATTGTTTACTGGAGATAGACACACTAATTTAGTACCTAACCCTGTGTTCCTTCTGTATAGCACAGTGAGGGAAAGTGTATATTTGCAGTTTCTGTGGCTATAGCACTATTCCCCTACCAACTATACATATGTCTGTATATATGTATGTATATGTTTGAGTACAAATAGAATTTGCTTTATTTTTTAAACAAAATAAATATAGCAGATTAATATCCTACGAAGCTTTGACAGTAGGTACCTTATGTTATTGCTATACATTGTTCATAGTCAAAAGATGATGAAGTGCTTCTGCTTGCAGAATTTATCCTCCATACCCTTCTTCATTTGAAGAGAAAATAGCTTCATTAGCCGTTTAGCCTGGTGGCTTCTCATTTGGCAGGGCAAACTAAGGGTTGAAGCAGAGAAACAGTTGATAGCTTCTCTTTTCTCCAATCTCCTTCTCTACTACCACTACTAAAATAGTAAGTGGTTACAGAGATGGGTCCAGTTCTCTGGGCCTGAAGCTGCTATTATCTGCTGGATTTGGGCTTTTTAAAGAAACAATATAAAAATATCTTTCTTTGGGATATTACACACGCACACAGCACTTGTTCTCCCCTAGGTGAGGGCCCTGAAGATGGAGCTTCATTAACCTCACGATTATTCTGTCGCTGGAGCCAGGTAGTCACCTGACAAAGCATGGTCCAGATGACTTTTGTCCTCCTCTTTGTTCTGTCACCCTGATGCCCCTCCTAGGCTGAGGGTGGAGACTTTGTGCCCCTTCTCTGGAAATTCTCAGCCTTGAGCTGCAGGTCTTCAGGTAATCTTTTGGAGCACATGGGACTTCCTTGCTCCGTGTGCACCACAGCTTCAAATCTGGTGCTTGGCAGGAAAGGGACATCATAATCCTAACTGTTGTTACCTTGCCACTACCATGTTTCCCTGAAAATAAGACCTAACTAGAAAATAAGCCCTAGCTGGTCATTACCATGGTGATGGCCAGTGGCATGCAGAAGATTAAACCTCACTATTCTCTTGCTCTGCTCGATGGCTACTCTAATGGCAGGTAAGGCAAGAATAGGCTGATGGGGGCTGGCATTTTTGATGTCTAGTTTTCAAGGCTGTTAGGTCTTACTTTTGGGGAAACACGGTAGTTGCATTGCAAATCATCCTGATCTGATTTCCTGCCCTATTCCTAAGCCTTCTAAAATCTAAGAATTACTAAGAAAGATAGAAGCTAGATCCAGGTTCCATTGAACTTTGTCACTGGTTGTTGTATAACTGTGTGTGAATCACAGTGAAGTGGGACAGAAAATCTCCAGTTAATGGAAGTTGCCAAGAATGGCAGAAGACCTGGACGTGATGCTCATGCAGTCTGCACTCTCTAGTGTGGAAAAACACTGTGGTGGAGGTGCAGAGGGCTGGCCCATTAGGGCTGTGTCCCTGTGAGAAGAGTGAGGCTAGGCTGGCAGCATCTAGTCTGCAGGTGTTTCTGGCAGAGTGGGCCCGGAGGTCTTTGAGCCTGCAGCCTAAATGTAGGGAGTTACAGTCACTTTAGGGCCCTTTGTCCCACTTACTAGATTCTCCTCCTGCTGAGATGTGGCTGGTGTACGTAGGCTGTCTGCACAGTCAGGGAGGAGGAGGCAGGCTTCCTTATCAGTGTGGTCCCCACCCCCACAGACCTGCTTCTGTTAATCTGTTTCTCCAGGCCATGTCTCTCAGCTGCCTGCATTTGATAGCTTGTTTTGCATCTGGATTTATTGCTGCCTATAGCTGTATCTTGAGGCAGGTGAAAGATTGTTTAGGTGACTACTGCTTTTGGTGTTCATGTCACCTTAAATCACTTTTTATGATGTTTCAGTGTTGAACCAATGTGTCTCACATACCTTTTTGCTTGCATGTGGTATGGACCGTACCATTGAAGAGCTGGTTACCGCCAGTTACTGATACAGATGAGATGTAAGTGCTGGTTTACTGAGTTAACATGTTTAGTAACTTCCATAATAAGAAAGCAGGATTTGTTTTTTCCACCAGAGGAAAAACAAAGTGAGAAGGATGCCTTGAGTGTAGAGTCAGCTCCTAGGAACTGGACGTCCCCACTCAGTCAGAAATCATTCTTTCAGACATCTGTGGGTCCATCTATTAGGTCCTCTCTCCTGAAAGTGTAAACAGCCTTTTTATCCGGTAGAAACAGCATTGCATTAGAATGAAGCGTTCTGTTATTTTATGTCATATAATCAACAGACCATACAGGCATTAGAAAATGTAAGTAACTAGGTTGTCTGTAATTATCTGGAGAATGTGTGTATACTTGCCACAGTATATGAATACAGAGGTCTGACATCCAAACTGCTCAAAGGAATTTCAGCTGATTTTAGATACTGGCTGTTGTGAGCTTATGCTGCCTATCATCCCTAGGTAGTTGTTTGAATAAAGAATATAGTTTGTACTTTTTGTTTTTTATCTTTCTAGATGTATTGCTGACCTTGAACATCATCCCACTTGAAAGTCACAGGGAAGCTCAGCCATCAGTATGTCCAAGTACAAACTTATTATACTGAGACATGGAGAGGGTGCTTGGAATAAGGAGAACCGATTTTGTAGCTGGGTAGATCAGAAACTTAACACCGAAGGATTAGAGGAAGCTCGGAATTGTGGGAAGCAACTCAAAGCACTAAACTTTGAGTTTGATCTTGTGTTCACATCCATCCTTAATCGGTCCATTCACACAGCCTGGCTGATCCTGGAAGAGTTGGGGCAGGAATGGGTCCCTGTGGAAAGCTCCTGGCGTCTAAATGAGCGTCACTATGGGGCCTTGATTGGGCTCAACAGGGAGAAAATGGCTTTGAATCATGGTGAAGAACAAGTGAGGCTGTGGAGAAGAAGCTACAGTGTGACCCCACCTCCCATCGAGGAGTCACATCCCTACTACCATGAAATCTACAATGACCGGAGGTATAAGGTATGCGATGTTCCCTTGGATCAGCTGCCACGATCTGAAAGCTTAAAGAATGTTCTGGAGAGACTTCTTCCTTACTGGAATGAAAGGATTGCTCCTGAAGTACTGAAAGGCAAAACCATTCTGATATCTGCTCATGGAAATAGCAGTAGAGCGCTCCTGAAACATCTGGAAGGTACCACCTTTATGTACTGCTTATTAGGGGTTGTGTAGTCTTAACATTTGGGCCTTAATCTAGCAATTAAGCTAATAATGCATTTACATAGCATAATTTCCTTCTATCTGCCTCTTTGTCACTTTGGACTTAAGAAGCAAGTTGTTCTATAAATAAAGACTCCAATGCCTTTAACATTCACAGTATCTGAAGCAGAAGTTTGCAGAGTCCAGCAAGCTTGGGAGTCTTCCGAGAGCTCAGTATGATGCAGATTTTGGGTTCCATCCTTGCAGTTTCTGAAATACTAGGTCTGGAGTGGAGCCTGAGAATTCGCATTTCAACTGATACTGCAGATTGGGATTCCAAATTTTGAGAAATACTGATCTTGGGCCAGGATTTAGCTCAGTGGTGCCATTGCCTGGCTTGTAAGCACAAGGTCCTGAGTTTAATCCCCAGGACCCCCCCCCCCACTCCAAAGAAAGAGAGAGAGAAATACTGATCTAAAAGAATTATATGCTCTGTTGTAATAAACTGAAAGTAGGCAAGGAAGGGAATAAGTTGTAAAAGTGTTGTTGAAAGTACATTTATTTGAGTTTTTCAAGTTAAGTAAACTGGATTTCAGTTTTTGCCCCCTTTCTTCCAACTTTAAACAATTCGGGCTGTGTTTTCAGATCTAGGTCTTCTGAACAATTCTTTTGTTCCAGTCTTCTTTCTCCACACTGGGCAGTTACTGATTAGGAGAAAGTTCTAAGGGGGAGAAAAATAAAATAATAGCTTATTTATCTTGACTCTGAAAGTTTGAAGATAGTAGCCTTATTTTTATTTCACCTACTTGATGTTATGTTTTTTAATGGACTATTTTGTTATCTTCTGTTTTAGTAGCATGACCTCTTTTGAGAAATCCAGTTCACCAGTGATGTGACACCTTCAGGGGACTTTGTCCCCTTCTGTCCCCTCACTGGTCCCAGGGATTGTGCTTTTTCAGTGATTCGCTCTGTGTTTTTCTGTCTGCATCACTGCTGGCTGTTAGCCACTTGGTATTAGAACATATTTCCCCATTGTTCCTTTCCATTCTGCTTTACTTTTCTCTAAGAGGCTGTAAAAAATGAAGACGTTGATGTTGTATGTGAAATAAGTGGAAAAAGGTTATTGGTAACAAAATGAAGTGTTTTTTAGAAGATTTTAATGTGAACTTTATTGCGTGTGATTATTTTGCCCTGATTTTTATATATGAACAAGCCAAATCATTCCTGGAACATCTGAAATTCATTAATCATGCCAAGATCTAAAATCTACAGGCCTTATTAGCTATTAATAACTTGATTGACCAGACATGGCACTTGATCTGTTTGTGTGTCTGTAGGCATATTGTATTATTAGGCTATATAAAGGGTTCTGTGCTTCCTTGTTCAGAATAATCAGATATTTGATAAAATGATATATAACTTCATCATTAATGGACTTTATTGTTTGACAAAGAGTTGAGGCATTTATTAGGACAACAAACTGAAATTCATAATTTCATAGTTTCTGCTGGAAGATGTATCCTGTCCAACCACGTCAATGCCTTTTCTAGAGATGAGACTTAGATCTCCTTGTGGCCAGCCTCTCTCCCCACAGAAAATCCCATACCTCCTTCAGGAGCCTCTTTTTCTCCTCCTCAGTAAGACATCCTCCTTTGAAAAGAAGAGGCAGGGAGGGAGGGAGGGAGGGAGGGACGGGGCGGGGACAGAACTACTACCTACCTCCTTTATGCTCTTCATCTATCTTCAAGTTTAACTCTAAGATTACTCTGTAGCCCCAGCCACAGCATATTCTACATGCCCCCTCTTACCAGTGCATTACTAATTTAACTGTTTCTGCTGTTTTTAAGGAAATAGAAAGAAGGTTTAACCAGTGGTGAAAGATCTGTCATGGACAGAGTACCTCTGGAGGGCAAGGTTAGACAGAAAGAAAAGCTTGATTTTCTAATTTAAGGGATAGTTTGAAACCATTAATAATTCATTGAAAAATTTAATCACATAGCATGCCTGCTTTGGAAAATACTGCAACAGTTCTTCAGAAGGGTTGAAGAGGTACCCTAAGGTGGAGCAGTTATACTCTAGTGTATACTTTATTAGTGGCCAGGGTGGGGGGACTTAAGAAAGTGCCCACAGCTGGTTAATGTCAAACAACAGAAGTTTAATTTGCGAGCTGGAAGTCCTGAGTTGGCCGAGTCGTACCCATACCTTTCATGGTTCTAAGGGGTCATCCTCTCTCACCTTGGGTAGCCTTTGGGCACAGTCAGCTAGCTGTCTTTGGTGTTCCTTGGTTTCTAGGAGCATTGCTCCAGTGCTACCTCCTCATGGGGTCTTCTTCAATGGGTATTGGTATTTCTTGTTCAATTTTTTTTTAAGGATACAGTAGTATTAAATTAAGGCCCACCCTAGTGACCTCATTTTAACTTTAATTGTTTCACATAAGATCACATTCAGAGATTTGAAGATAAGAACTTCAGTGTATCCTTTTTTGGAGGACACAGTTCAATCCATAACAGTACTCAAAGTAAATGAAAGTTTTCACACAAGAACTTTTACACAGAATTACACCGTAGCCTATTCATGATAGCCAAAAGGTGCATTGCCCCAAATGTCTGTCAACTAATGATTCAGTAAATTAAATGTGTTATAGCCACAAAATGAAATATGATTCAACAGTAAAAGGAATGAAGTACTGTAATGATACATGCTAGAGCAGAGATGAACCTTGAAATCATCTTATGGGAAAGAAGCCAGTCAGAAAGGATCACCTAGAATTCCATTATATGACTGTCCAAGATAGACAAATCCATAGAGACAGTAAGTACAGTACGTGTTTCCTGGGACTGAAAAGTGGGAGTGAAGTACAATAAGATTGAAAGTGATTGTTAAATGGGTAGAGTTTCTTTTTGGGATGATGGAAATGTTCTAAAATTGATTATTGTAATGATTGCATAGCGCTGTGAATGTACTAAAAGCCATTGAAATGTACACTTTAAATTATGTATGAATTATATCTCATTAAAGGCCTAAGCATAATTTACAGGATTAAAAGGTGAAAGATTTGTCATTGTTTGGTCTAGAAAATAATAGATTAGGGCAAATATAAGAAAGTGATAAAAGGCAGAAGCACATAGATGTGAAATATAGAATAAAGAGAATAAAAGCACTTTCTAAAAGGTTTGTTTATGGGGGATAGCATAGGAGTTGAGGGGCTGGGGGATGGAGGTATAGCTCATTGATAGAGTGCCTGCCTGGCATGTGAGGCCCCTGGTTAGATCCCAGCAGTGGGGGAATAAAAGAAGAAGGGCTGGAAGCAGCCTGAGGATGAATACTGTACCTGCTCATTTCTCAGAAAGCCTAATGAGTCCATTTTTGCCCTGGTGAGTTAGGGATAGGGCTACCTGTGCTTTTATTTTGAGGGTAATTTATTTAAAACAGTGGAGTTGGTGTGGTAAGTAGTAAATTCAAGAAAAACACTTACATAGGAAGTACATGAACGTGGAAAAAGGCAAAGGCTGGATGAGGTCTACAGGAGAAAGGAGGCGTGTATGAAGAGGATCGAGAATGCAGATGGTAGGGCTGGTGATTTTTATACTGTGCCAACTCATGCAGGTTAAAGAGGGCCTACTGCTGACTGGTTCAGGCACACAACTCACAAAGCACCACGAAACCTTCTACCATCAGCTTTGTATCTAAAACATTCCATTCTGTAGTGTTCCAGACAGGAGTGTGTTTCTTTCTCTGTGGTTGGCATAGTCACTTCCTGTTTGTTTCCTGATAAAGTACATCAAAGGAAAAGCCAGGTACCAGACTGAGCATTGGCTGCCATCTGCACCTTGCCAGAGGAAGTAAATTGTTTAGTCTGGGTTCAAGTACAGGATTGGGCAGCTTCAAGTTTGGAATGGCAGGCAAGATGCTCATATAAGACTTGGTATTTGCAGAATTGTGCACAGCTGTACACACAGCAAGCAGAGAAGTAGTGAGATGGAATTAGAGACAGAGGAGGAAAGGTCAGCTGGGACCAGCTGTGGGAACTGGGACTGGCTCTCGTCACCTTTGGCATTTAACATGTTATTTTCAGAAGCAATGAGTTCAAGCCTCCCATCTATGAGACACTTTTCTGGCAGTATAGTTAAGCTTTCTTTTATTTTATTTAAGTATACTAGATTTATAGAAACCTTTATTTGTAAACATTTTAATTAAAATGTAAAATAGATTCTTTGCTTCATTCTAAATTAGAGGCTGTTTTTCTATCATTGTATTACAGTATTCAAATAACCTATTTTCAGTTGTTCCCTGTAGCCCATCTTTGAGTTCTCCAGTTACTATTCAAATTTTAAAGAATCAAAAATAGGTAGGTCATCTATGAAATTCAGTCTCTTTTGGCTCTTACTGATAATAGAAGAATGCAGAACTCTTACCACAAATTTTACATCAATAGAAAGGCAATGGTTAGAAAGGCAAGTGGGGAGTAGGTGGAACCTCATAGCTAAAGGAGTTAGCTGGAGCTGTTGCTTTATTTTTCTCATCTTTAAGTGTACATATCTCAGAATTGGGGTTTTCTCCTGTCCTGTAACAACTGTCTTCCTGAATATCTCTTCTCCTACTTCCTGAAGTTCAAAGATTTTCGAACAAGCAGTTTAGAGAAAACTAAAGAACATATAAAAGACATTTCATCTAAATTTTTATTAGTACTAGATGTAAACAACTTTTTGAGGCTGAGAACCTTTGAACTCTTTTTTTTTCCCTTTCGAAGTTCATAATGGGTACATAGTCTTTAATCAGGTCTTAAACAATAAAAGATTAGATTTAATTTGAAAGCCCAGAAGTTAGAATTAGTTCAGTGTATCTGTGTGTCCAGGGTCCACCAAATTAGATCCTGATCTTGGCCCAAGGAATAGAGCACCTACACATGAATTAGACACACAAGGTCTGGCCTTTTGGGAGCCTATGCTTCCTTTTAATTTCCTTCTGAGGCTATGGCCATACCACCCTGAATGC